TTTTCTTTCCTCTTACCAAGTAAATTTATGACATTTTATCACTAAACATTTCAGCAGGCATGTTTGCCTCTATTCTGTCTTGGTAGGCCACAACTTTACTGGAGCTTGCTTTCTGGCCAAACTTGAAACCTTTAAAATCATTCTGCTGGGACCTTTGCTTTTGATACTCAAGATGGAGCTGCCTAAGAGCTTTCAATAGTAGTCATCACACTGCATCATCATTAAACTACCGTGAAATTTCTTCTGCCAGATGTATTAATCCACCACAATTAATCTAAGTCTCCTGCAGAGTCTCTGGTGACAAGCAAAATTCAGGGAAATTTTTCTGCCAAAGCACAGTGAACATGATCTGGAGTTCAACAGTCGATGGAGCTATCATTCCTAACTGAAACCCCTGACCCTGATCTTCACCATCTCTGCTTCTTTCTGCACTTTGATCTTCTGAGCTCGGACCTGAGTCGCCCATGAAGTTCTGATTGCCACATTCCAAGGCTTCTTCTTCACCTGGCATCTAGAAAACTCTCCAAATTCTTTCTTCCCTGAAGCCAATTAAAAATGCTTCTGAATCACATATTCATGAAGAAACGACAAGCAAAATTCAGGCAAATTTTTCTGCCAAAGCACAGTGCACATGATCTGGAGCTCAACAGTCGATGAGCTATCGTTCCTAACTGAAACCCCTGACCCTGATCTTCACCATCTCTGCTTCTTTCTGCACTTTGATCTTCTGAGCTCGGACCTGAGTCGCCCATGAAGTTCTGATTGCCACATTCCAAGGCTTCTTCTTCACCTGGCATCTAGAAAACTCTCCAAATTCTTTCTTCCCTGAAGCCAATTAAAAATGCTTCTGAATCACATATTCATGAAGAATCACAGAATTTCCCACTTCTCTAGTGCCAAGTCTGTCTTCAGTAAATCTCTTCATCCACGCCCAGAGTTATGCTGATTGAATTAGTTGCACCCAAGTCTTACCCAACTTGACACAATCCGTTAAATTATCACAGGCAGAAACTGAAAAATTACAAATTATATTCCAAATTTGTGGAATCAAAGTAACATAGAACTGGCACAAAAGCCTGCATATAGACCATAAAAGAAAAGGAACAAACAAAACAGCAAAACAACAATAACAAAATCCAGAAGTTAAAGATCAGAAGTAAACACATTCACAACTAATCGATTTGTGACAATGGCAGCTGTACTGGGGGCAAGACAGTCTCCTCAGCAAATGGTGCAGAGAAATCTGGATAGAATGAAAAGAATCCTACCACAGCAATATGTGCACACCCATGTTTATAGCGGCACAGTTTGTAACAGCTAAAACTTGGAAACAGCTCAATTGCCCATCAACTGGAGACTGGGTAAAGAAGATGTGTTTTGTTGTTGTTTAAAAAATAAAATGGAGTACTACTCAGCCACAAAAAATGAGAAACTAGAGACACTTGTAACTAAATGAATGCACATTGAGGCCACACTCTTAAGTGAAATAAACAGGACACACGTGTATATACTGAATAGTTTTTCTTGTGGGAGAAACTGAAAGTATAAATAAGGATCACAAATGTATAATAGATCATTTGAAATAGTAAGAAAAGGGGCAAAGGGGAAGTAGAGGGTAGGCAAAAGGAAAGAAGGGGAAGGAATAAATATGAGAAAAGAAAAAAACAGAAACAAAATCTTTGTAAATAGGGAGGGTGGAGGGGTTGAGGGGAGGGCAAAGAACTGAGGAAAAATATAAGAACCAAGATATATCATGTAAAAGTACAAATTCCCAATGACGAATGTCATAATATTGTATACTTCAAATGTAACAGTAAACTTAATTGAAAAAATCAGCTTATATTGGTAACTTAAATGTGGGACCAAAATTTTTGAATCTACTTAAGAAAATACAGTGGAAATACGCTGTAACATTATTGTGGCTAAAAACATTTTTGGATAAGACCCCCACATCACAGAAAACAAAACAACAAAGAGACATATAAAATTAAATGAATCTAAGAGTTCCTTCAGAGCAAAGGAAATAACTGGTGTAAATAACAGCAGATGTAAAGAATGGGAGAAGACATTTGTAATTATGCATCTGGCAAAGCATTTCCGTCAGAGCATAGAAGGAACTCAAAATTGTAATAACATAAAAGAAGTAATTCAATAAAAATATTCAAGAAAATATCTCCATGAATCTGAAAAGGTTTTTAATGAAAATATATAAGGAACTCTGTCACCAAAATGACATACAATGCAATAACGAGTGAGGGGAAATATCTTAAAAGACATTTGTCAGAACAGAGTTATAAAAACGAACAGCAAGTATTTAAGAAATACTCAACCTAAGTGATCATCAGAGAAAATAAAATAAATGCTATGCTATACTCAGATATGATCTCATGCTACTTAGATTGAGTTTTATAGAGAATGCAGAAATAATGAATATTAGAGAGTCGATGGGGGTACAATTTAGTATAGCATTACAGAAAACAGGGGAAAGGCAAGACGGAACAAGGAGAAAGCCGGGGTTATGAGGGAGGAAATAGGACAAAAAATAGGACTTTCAAAATTTCTTTCCTCCCAAATGCATTTCATAACAGCTGAAAAAAGTTATACTGAAGACAAAAAATTCCAGAAATAATTGAAAATAGGTGGAAGCATTGAAGAAAGAGGGAATTAATTACATAGAGAGAACCACAAAGCTCTTGTTCATAATTTAATGCATTAGAAACCCTAACTTAACTGAAAATGTATGTTTGATGAGGTCAAAATGGAACGGACTGGCTTTGTGCCTTACGCCATGACCTGTCCAGTACGTAGAACTACTCTGGGTGCGTCCTGGCTAAGAGGGCTCTCAGGGCGGCACTTCTGAGATTTGACTTGTGCAGGGTCAGGTTTGGGCCAAAGCTGAATCTGAAGTCTCCATGCAGAAAATTTCCATCCTCAGAGCCATGTCATTTTTGCTCTGAGAGCTTTGTTAATCTCTGCTTATTGTATTAGCACCTTCCCTACCCTGGAAAAATTACCTCACTAGCATAATTTAAAGGGGGAGAAGCTTATTTTGGTTTATAGTTTCAAGGGATTCAGTCTGAGGTCAGTTGGCTCCCAGCTGGGACTGCATGTAGGAAGGGTTTAGTGCAGCAAAGCTGCTCAACTCATGGCTGCCAGGAAGCAGAGCACAAAGTGGTGAGCCATGGATGAGAACTGTACACACTTATGGTCCACTAACCTCAGTAGGGGGTTAAGAATGAATAGGAGAAAGGGCAGTCTCTTTAACAAGCAGTCTTGTACAACTGGGTGTCTCCATGCAAAGGAGTGAATTTGGGCCTGTACCCTACAATCGTACAAAAGTTACATAAATATCAAACAAAATATGAAAGGAAACCTTGAGACTTCTAAAAGAAACAGGGAAGATCTCATTGACATCCATCGTGGTGGTACATTCTAAACTTGTTTCCAAAAGTGGAGTCAACACAAGCAGAAACAGACCAGTGGGAGTACATGAAAAATAAATCAGTTTTATGAAAAGAAAAATAAGTAATGACATGATAAGCCTACCTGTGAGAGGAGGTAGAACATTTGATTTTCACGTAGCTAATAACAATTAAACATCCAACATAGAAAATAAATCTCATATTTCAGTTTCAAATAATAAGCAAGCAAACAAATAATCCCTTTACAAACTATAAAAGATCTCAACAGACATTTACCAAGAGACCCACAGCAACGGAGAACAGACGCATGAGAAGGTTCGCAAATCATCACAAATCACCAAGGAAATAGAAACGACTCGCACAATATTGTAACAATAACTGAGGAGTGTAAGAGACAACTGTGACTGCACTAACAATTTAAAAGTACTTATGTAAAAACACAGTAAGGGAACGAAAAGACAAGCCACAGATTCAGTAAACACATCTAGTAGTTACATAACGGTTAAAGGAATTGTCCTAAAAATTACCAAAGCCTTTAAGACAGAATTTTGAAAGACTTAAAAACCCAATAAGGATATAAATGGAAGAGTTTACCGAGGGCTCCTGAAAAATATTTTACATGGGCCTTGGGGAAATATGTATTTATATGATCGTGAGATACCAATCATTTAGAAAAGCTAAGAACAAAATATTCACCCAAAATATCCTGAGGAGACTAAGGGAAAGAGGATTCTTATTCCCCCTG